TGAATGAGGATTTCATTCATCTTCAGTGAAAAGGTTTACAGTTTGCTGAAGAACACCGTGAAATTTCAGTTGGGATCAGAAAAACTCAGGGTAAACTCGGAAATAAACTTAAAAAAACATAAAATCGCTGTGAAAAGGATTCAATCAACCAGATTGATGTTCACTTTTTTAACTCTTCAAAGAAAAGCGAGTTGCTTGAAATGAGCTACCCAAATTCGAGGGTTTATAAGCTGTGCCACCGTTGATTGATGTATCACACATGAGAGTGAACATTTCGAGTCTTTACTAACCATCATTTTTCGACAAACCAGATCCAAAAAGTGATACCTACATCGAGTTGGTACATGTCTAGAGAAGCCAACCTGAGAGTTGATGAGGCCTTCATTGTTTACACAAGCTTCGTTTTTTGTTTTATCAAATAAAAAGGACATTCTTCATAACCGTAAAAAGTATCAGGGAAATGAAACAACTTTCATTAGAAAACAAAACTATAGATGTAATATACAGCTCATAAGGCTGCTGAAAACTCATCGACGGCCCACAACTGTTTTTGCCGTTCTTGGGGTCGACCAGGTAGGTAAAGTCCTTGAATCTCCGTCCATGTTATGTTCCAACTGAACAAGGCTGCTGAAAACTCATCGACGGCCCACAACTGTTTTTGCCGTTCTTGGGGTCGACCAGGTAGGTAAAGTCCTTGAATCTCCGTCCATGTTATGTTCCAACTGAACATTAGCAAAATACACTCATTTGCAAACAAATTTGGTTTTGAGTGCCGAGTTTTCCCAGTTGGATAATCTTCATTAATTAAAAATGTTTGCCCGTTTTAAAAAGTAGGTCATTCGTTTACATGAAAAAACCTATTCACATTCTCACACATGCATTGGACTGAATTAGATGTTCTAACAACGCTTTTCAATCCGTGTACCCATTGTTCGTGATCCGCACGATATCACTTCCCCAAACACTATTCGGGCTCACAGACAAGATAATGTGTACACGTATGTTTGATCCATGAGATAAAAGAAACTGAAAGGAAGTATGCCATATTCAAATAACAAAAGATCGTTCTGAATGCGGACCAGAAATAAAAAAATTGTACCAATTCACTGCAAACCACCTACATCGTTACATTTACTTGTGTGTCTACAATTCTTCTGGCCCGGTTTACCACCCCCCTCAGCTTCAACTCTATACATTCAAACTAAGACTTGTATCCGAATGTGTTAGGAGCAACTTCTGATGCGTCAGAGGTGTTTGCGCAGACAAAGATGGACGGAAAAACATTGAAGAATGACGTAGCAATACATGGTCTGTTCAGAAAGGCATTGCTTATCAACAGGGATTCAATGATCATCGGAAAGTCCCCTTTAATTAAGAGTGAACTGATTAACTGAATGAAAATATTGCGTCAAACAAAAGATGTTCTTCGGTTGTCTTTTGAAATACACCTGGCGGATACTTGGTTCGAAATATGAGTTTCAGCCGAAAACTGCTGGTTTTATTTTTGAAACCATTTTCCCTAACTTTCAAATATCGATCTTTATGGTAGGCCAAGGCGCATTTTTTTCATCTCGAAATTTCTACTGGCATGAATGACATACTTGTGTAAGAATAACTGGTTTACCTAACTACAGTCATCACCGACCGCAGTGGGGAAAATTGACGTTCGAATCGACACATGAGACCGAGTTTTCCACAAAGTCTTGTTCATGATTGTTTCGTTGCACAAATCTTTGCTCTCATGGGCGCAAAGTGCATTCGATGACGGCTGGTACTGTATGTTGATATGAATTTACAAACCTGGTGACTGCCAAATGATATCTGAAGAAGACGTAAACAGTGTATAGCCTCTTAACTTATCCCTTCCAACTGTCCCTGTCAAAATGCTGATTGTTCATCAGTATTCTACTCCCGAAATGTGATCAAATATCTTGTTATTATCTTACGCATTTTTTATACTAACCGTTCATCATAAAAAAGAAGCGAGATGCTCATCTGTGTACCTGTATTGCGAGTGCCAACATTTTGCGAACTAGTTCATTAGTCAGCCACCAATCCACCACTTAAATTATTGGCCAACTGGTCCCTGGCCCAAGCGCCTCAAAAGTTGGTCAACTAAGCAGTCAGTCATTCAGTCAATAAATCAGTTAAACAATCATTCAGCCAACTAATTTACCCATCCATCGCATCTATCCATCTATCTTCACGGGACGAGGTGGACCAAGTGGTTAGAGCGCGAATTTACTGACCGGAAGGTTCGTGGTTCGAACCCGACCTCTTCCTCTCGACTTCCCATGTCTAGGCTTGGGCAACCTGGCAGCATCCCAGCCTCAGTACAACCTTCGGGTGGTATGACAGCTAGGTACCGAAAGGATGCCTACCTATTTTCCTATCTACCTATCTTGGTAAACAAACAATTAGTCGAGTTTGGACATCCATCTAATCATTTAGACTAGTGGTATATTCTCGCTAGATCCGTCGAAGTTGAAATGCGCTTTATTACTCAACAGCACAGACTTCAAGTAGTATCGTTTCTGACTTTTCACTGGTTTTCATTTCACAGCGATCGCTTCCCCACGTCTAATGAAGTGAATCAATAATTCCCAATTCCACAGTTATTACTCGCGTATAGCACATGTTAAACCGAAAATTTCATCCATCCAAGCCGTTCGTTTGACAGTGACCATAAAATAGTTATTTGTCAAATCATGTATCTTCAACAGAGCGCTGTTTGGCGTTGGAAATGCGAAAGCAAATGAACCTGTATTGGTCCACCTCATTAGTCAACAGGACTTTGTTTCGTTGATTGGGAGCGGTGCGTTTGATACTGTTTTGATTCTCTTTTGATATCAAGCTGGACAAGTCAGTTCAGGTAAGCGGCATTTACCGCACTAATACGCGCACGCACACACGCACAAACCAGTCACTTCAACATATATAACAAAAAAAAAAGATTTTTCTGNAAAAAAAAAACGATTTTTCTGCCTCATCAGAAAAACCTAGCGGGTTTAACCTAGTTTTCTTCCAAAACAACGTGGCATAAACTGCGCTTCAGATAATTTGGTTACTTATTTGACGTGTGAAGTTTTCTAACGTTCCCTTTGCAGTTGTCAAAATCGTCGCTTCCACACAAGCTGCGTTGTCGGTGAAAGTATGCTTAACTTTTACGCGTGACCAATACACTTCAGAAGAATTTTAAAATAGAATGGTGTTTCTTTGTTCGCTAGAAAGGAGATTATCAGTAGTCTCAAACACGAATGAATTTTCCAGGAAAAGAAATTTGCAGCGCAACTGAACAGATGTTTTCAACCGCAACAGTTCACGTGGACAGGTTTTGGATTCTAAGGCTGAAGTAACCGTGGTAACTCTGGAAATGGGTCGCCACATGCGTGGTACTAATAGAAAGTTCATTTGCCCACACTTGTACATTGTTTACTGATCAAGACGTCGAGAGAGCTTATTATGTAGGTCGTTAATCTTAATAAAAGTTCCGCAAACTATTCATGAAGCAAACTACTCACAAGGTTGCTGAAAATTCGTCAACAGCCCACGAACGGTTTTACCCTTCTTGGGGCTCATCAAGTAGGCGCAGTCCCCGAGTTTCCATCAACATTATGTTCTACTTGAACCCAAAATGGACCGTTTTCGAGAAATACACGCATTTGCAAATCAATCTGGTCTTCACGAGAGAATCAACTGAAGCTCTCGTTTATGGTATTCTACAACTGAATGTGCTGCACACAGGCCGCCTCATGATTTAGTTGGCACGATATTCGAGATATCGTAGTATATTTTCATAAGGGAAACTACTCACTATTTGCTGAAAACTGTTCGACAGCCCATGACCGATTTCGCCTTTCTTGGGGCTCATCAGGCGGGTGCAGTCTCCGAGCTTCCGTCAACCTTATGTTCTACCTGAACAGTCCAATTTGGGTTCAAGTAAAACATAAGGTTGACGGAAACTCGGTTCCGCAAGCTCTCTTTGTTTCGATGTAAATGATCAGAAAATGCTTAGAAATTGCTCAGTAATTGGTGAAGCTGATTCGTGGTCGAGCTGTAAATCATATTGGCTGCTTTTGTCAAACGCTTGTTGTTCGGAACGTGTTATACAGCCTGCATTTCAAACATACGCATAGTTTTATGCATTCCAAAGTTACGGATAACGCAAGATTGTATAGGCAGATTCGATGAATTATGATAAACATTTTAGCTAGTAATTGAATACTACTGCTTTTTGTGAGTAGCAAACATACTACTAGATTTGTTTGAATGGTGTGCTCATATTTTTTTGGAAAAATTTAGCAACAACAACGAATTCAACCGATTTTGCTGCCGGATTTATTTTAATTGGCTTACACCCTTTATTATTATGTGGAATAAAAGTCACGGACCGTTTAACCTTGTTTGAGATCTTGGTGAAACTTGGAGACTTTTGGCTGCGCTACGTTTTTCCTTCTACCGAACGAATTATCGCTCAATGGCGATGTGGACAGAGGCTTTAAAAAGTTGCCATTAGTGCGAGTGTCAAGATTTGTGAAAATTTGATAGCGTATCTAGCCGTTGTTGTGCTTTTTGATAAGTTTTTTTTCTAAGGTTGCTTAGGGTATTGGGGATTTACGGCACATAGTTTGATGCCTGGTGACCTGCCGTTATCATTAACACAATTCTAGGGTAAATTTCATGCGGTATGTACGGTTGATCGTATCAATTTCTAGCTTTTTACTGAACCAGTCCAACAGACAATGAGGTGATTATATCCTCAGCCCTAGAAACAAAAAGGGAAATGTTTCTTACAGAGTAACTCGGATGTGGGAAAGAGTTGATTGTTGTGTGTTCCAAGATAAATCAACATAACGGAAGGGGTACGAATATGCTGTGAATTTCGTCTGTTTCACGTGCACTTTTTCATAAATGAACATAAGAGAACAACTGTGCCGGGGTATAAGTTTAAGAAACCAGCGGAGAATGTTTAGTGCCTTCAGTGGCTCTACTTGATTAATTCATTGGTTTGGTTTTCGGTCTGTTCGCTGAGCTTGGCAGTGGCATTGCAAACGTTTCATCGCCCATCTAGGTGACATCTTCAACGCCGCGTGGACGATATCACCTCGATTAGTGATGAAACGTTTGCAGTTCAGCTGCAGAGCTGGGTGAAGAGACCGACAATCAAGTAGAGTACCTGAGCCATATATATTCCACAACGTTGCTAAATCCATAAGTTGACGGAAACTCGGGGACTGCGGCTACCTGATGAGCCCAAAGAACGGCGAAACCGGTCGTGTACTGTCGAAGAGTTTTCTGCAACCTGGTGAGTAGTTTCCCTTGTGAAAATATCATAGAATGTCATTTCTGCTCTGTTCATCTACCACAACCTCGGACCGCATCGCTATTTTCTTCCCGTTTGTCAAGTGCACCCCTTCTTTACACGAAGACGCGTCTATTAACGTCATATTACTCCAAAAGCAATGGCATCGTTAGCTTTACTTAAGCTATTGAACTCAAATCATCTAAGTGGCGAATTTTCCCACCCAGTCTGAGCTTTTGCAATGTGGCTTCTAATTGATAAAATCAGGAGTTTCCCTAGAAAATTAGCCAATTTCAGACAGGCTGTCTAGCTACAAACACCTCTAAGATCTTTGAAGACTTCACTCATCCGTCAGTGAATGTACGAATGGATGAATGAATCAGTCAGCCAATCAGTTAATCAAGCATCAGTCAATCAGTCAATCAACAAATCAATTAGGCAATCAGTCGGTGAATCAGCCTGTCTATTCATGCAAATACAATGCCCATTGTTTTCTACAAAGCTCGATTACGGTTGCAACAAAACAATCTGCTGGTTTTTGGTGAATATTTCATTCCTAAGTAAAGCCAATGTGTAGTGAATAGCCAAGAAGAGCTGTACAGCCGTTTTACCCATAATGGAACCATGAGCGGTGAGCGCACCTCACAAAACTTCAGACAAGGTCAAACTCGCAACCTTGCAGCTAGTAGTTTGCTCACGTGACCGCTTGGTCACGAGTGGCAGTCCAGCTGGAATAAACTGCCTAAGTTCAACAGGCATTTCTCATGTTCCACGTAAGCCAAGCAATATTGTGCTCTCAGCCAAGCATCTACGCGAAAAACACGTAGCATGTTAAGGAATCTGGTATTGTGAACACAATACCGAGGGCTTACCGAAGTCCGGTACAAGAAGAAGGTTTGATTTGTGCAACTACTTAAAAAATAATTAATCTTTTGGCTGTAGTCGAGAAGCATGGGTCGGGTTCGAACCTTCCAGTTAGTACATTCGCGCTCTAACCACCGAGTCATCTCGCTCAGATTTATTCAACTACCAGGACTATTAGAGCACAGCTAAATTTTTTCACGCCGATCAAGTCTTGAATATTCATTGACTAACATGTTGGGCATCTGGCTTACTGAGCTGTGAATTTGGTTTTTGATCACAAAAAATGCTAAAGATTCAGTCGGATCCAAAACAGGTGAACTACATGACTCCGTGATCAGTACTGCTGGGTGGCCTGAGTCAACACCATTCCTCCCTGGATTGATATGCGTTTTTATTGATTTCTCTCTCGTCTGTAAATGCCTGGCTGTTCATCACGTCCCACATAACGATCGATGGGCATTAACGTGAAGGGTTCCATCATTAGCCCCACCATCATAGTATATCAAATGTTAGATAAAGTGAACAGCTGATTAAACAAACGTTTACACCAAGTTTCACTGACTCAGGACGTGGGTGCGTGGTCTTTAACTGAAGTTCTCGGATCGCCCTGACACTGTTTAAAAGGAATTTTCCATGTGAATGGGCTATTGGGGTTAGTACGTATTTGTTCAACTTCTTATTGATCACCAAGCTGAGAACCGGTGGCGTCGTAGCCTTAAAAATAAACTGTCGGAGCTCAAATTCTGGTAGAAGCGAGCTCCATTGGGGGCAAAATGAATCAAGGTGTTCCTCCCCTTTCATGTCGACCAATCAGAATGAGTAATTCGAGGAAAGCGAACAAGTGTGCATTAAATCTTCCTCGCTTACATTTCAATCGATAGCACGATATTCCCTTCATAGGTGATCTAGTGACTAAGGCCACAATTAAAGTTTTTAAAACAGAATTCAGAATCATGGACAACCTTCTCATTGTTTTACCTTTTTCAAAAGCCAAGGTAAATTCGAATGGAGCACCGTCCACATACTAACTCATGCGAAAACATAGAGAAAAACGTTGATTCGTAGAAGCCCGGCACTTCACTTAAAAATCCATAAAAACACATTGAAATCGGCCGAATCTATTGACCCGCGAAAGCAAAATAATTAGAGAACTGCAAAATACAGAGGTGGGCGAACAAAAACAAAAATCAAGGGGAGCCATCCTTCCCCCGCTCGGATCGCCCTGACACTGTTTAAAAGGAATTTTCCATGTGAATGGGCTATTGGGGTTAGTACGTATTTGTTCAACTTCTTATTGATCACCAAGCTGAGAACCGGTGGCGTCGTAGCCTTAAAAATAAACTGTCGGAGCTCAAATTCTGGTAGAAGCGAGCTCCATTGGGGGCAAAATGAATCAAGGTGTTCCTCCCCTTTCATGTCGACCAATCAGAATGAGTAATTCGATAGCACGATATTCCCTTCATAGGTGATCTAGTGACTAAGGCCACAATTAAAGTTTTTAAAACAGAATTCAGAATCATGGACAACCTTCTCATTGTTTTACCTTTTTCAAAAGCCAAGGTAAATTCGAATGGAGCACCGTCCACATACTAACTCATGCGAAAACATAGAGAAAAACGTTGATTCGTAGAAGCCCGGCACTTCACTTAAAAATCCATAAAAACACATTGAAATCGGCCGAATCTATTGACCCGCGAAAGCAAAATAATTAGAGAACTGCAAAATACAGAGGTGGGCGAACAAAAACAAAAATCAAGGGGATCCTTCCTTCCCCCGGACTACCATCGAGCCGGCAAACTGAAGAAGGATAAACATCAATCCAACAAATTAGCCATTAGGGGGAGAGAAAACTACATTAAACGCGGAAGTATGGCCAGCTAATTAGACACAAGAAGATGAGACCACGATACAAAACAAGAACGGACCAACCAGAAAGAAGTGAAAAAACTACCAAGAATAAAAATCCTCGTAAAAACCATCCAAGTTCAAGGAAGGAAGATCACAACGCAGCATAAATCGGGAACGAACCAATAGAACAGAGACCTGAAACACATCCAAAATAGCCATCCAAATAACCAAGTCAGTACGAGGTATAGGGACCACCGCGCAGAGCTAATCACGATCGGCCAGTAATACCACACGATTCGGATGTACCGATTAGCCAATCACATGACAGGATATTAGGTGCTCTTCAAAAACTATATAAACGCAGCTGAACCAAGAAGAATATCTCACCCAATTGTGCACCGACAATGTTTTCTTGACTGAAGACGAAACGTCTGCGAGCCAACTGCCAAACCCTGCGGATTGATCAACTACCATCTGATCAAACACCGATAAACAAAGGCTCTAAACATGCTGTTACTACGGTATTTGTTGTAAGGTCGGTTTGTTTCACTTCCACCTTCCGGAGTGTAATCTCTTCAGGGAGAATGTGCGTGTAAGATTCTGATTTCAAATGCCAACACTGTTTCAACACATCAAGAGGTTCCTACTTATTTCCACTTCAAACTCAGCAGCAATAAACGAGTCAAGACAGGTAATCCAGTCAGGTGGATTGAAATATTCTTGCAGTTGACAAGAAAATATCGTGGAAATTAGAACTGGCTTTCGAATCAGTGTATTCCACTATTGAATATTTCTGTTCAATCCTGACCCAGTCATTTACCTGGGTTGTGCGAATTACGGATTTTTACCAGTGTTTTCTACTGCTGTAAGGAACTCAAACAAGAAACGGTTCACTTGGTGAAGTTGCCTGGTTCATTTAGATACCTAATTTTGTCCAGAACATCTGTAAGCAAGCGAATGGAAACCTGTTGTGGTAAGAATTAGGTCGCTCCCATGAACTTCATAAGTATCACGTGAAATATTCCTTTATTGCGTGACTAGTTGGAAGAGGAAAGCTCTCATGGGGTGGGAAGCGCCATGTAGACACGTACAAAAATATACAGATCATACGGAAATAAATACTATTTTTGATTTGTTAAATACATATGACCTTGACTAGCTAAAAACGTTCCCGCCATTTTCTGACATCATCCAAATGGATAGATCAGAGCCTTTCCTTAGGGCTTATAAGATGAACGACTTTCAATAAATTATCGTAGAAAACAGCATGCTGTCCTCATCAGATAACTTATTTTTTTTGCTCGTTTTCGTCCAGCGCGTCAATACAAGTGTAACGGTGATACTACTGATGGGAAGACACGCGAGTAGTATGTGTTGTTCGTGAAATTTCGCTTTGCGTCTTTTGAAAAGGGGAGATCTGTTGCGAAATTCGTGGAGTCACTTTGTAACATTCGCTTGGATTTGAGTGAGGAATTACTGGAGTCGATGAATCTCCGGGAAAGTCTAAGAAGACACGTTCAGGAGATGATGGACGTCCAGCTTTTGTAAATAAGATGCAAATTAGAATTTTGCTTCCCTGTCCAATGGTCTGTAACCGTCAGTTGGCATTTCCTAATAGACAAGTCCGCAGCGAAGGCTTTCTTCTTTTCACAAGTAGTCCGTAGTCCAATGAATGACCCAAAACGTTATTGCTTAACTGACGGTTTCGTTAGTCTAAGCTGCCTTCAGGGGATCTTCGGATGACAATACCACGGTTTCGTGACATCCGAACTCAGCCAATGCATCGGGTTCCTTCGCGTGACCTCATACAAACGTCGTTTAAGGGTGTCACAATCCAGTCAGTTGAAACAGGTCGACAATATTTAACTAGTAGTCTTCATGATGGTATGTTCCCTGGTAGTATCACATTCGACACCAGAATTAGAGCGCTTCAAGAAACATACTGCTAAAAACAATTGGTTTCGCTCCTTTTAAGCTCACCAATAAGGACGTGGTCTCCCGAATTTCCGTCAACCTTATATTTAACTTGAAGCCAGATTAGACGCGATCTGTTTGCGCGCAACTTTGGCTTTAACTAAAGATTCATCTGAGTTCTCGTTTAGGATATTTCCGAAAGGGATGTACTGTACGAAGATCGCTTAAGACTTCAGTTGGTACAATGCCCGGGATATCGCAACATGAATTCTCGATGGAACACTGCTTCTGATGTCACTAAAAACACTCCGGCGGTCCACAGCCAGTCCTTCCCTTCCTAGGCTAAAGGAAAACACGCTGTTGACGAACAATTTTTCAAAAACTTTGGGTTTGATCCACATGCCAAACTAGTTCAAATGAATTCTGGTCGTCACAGGGTACACACGATTGCGGTTCGATTGCTTCAGCTTCGAGCACAGTTTACTTGAGCACCCAATCCGAGTTTATATATCATTCACTTCCTACCCACCGCTTTTTAATTGTTTGCTCCTGGTATCCTTCGCCTCACAGCGGTAGACAAAAAAAGATTGGTGGAAACCTTGGCTGGTAAGACGACTGTTAATCGTTCGGACTGCCATGCCACCAGAAGGAAGCACGAAGGCTGCGATACTGCCTAGATAGGGTATGTCGAGAGGCCGAGATTGGGTTGGAATCATGGACCTTCCGGTCAGTAAATTTGAGCTCTAACCGCCTGAGCCATCTCGCCCAAAATGACCATTATCTAAGCCTGGTGTTTTCGCAGTTAGTCACCTGAGTGTACAAAATTGATGACTTGGCACCGAGCACTGTGTATAAACAGTAAACGTTTCATGTGAAACAAAAACAGAAAAACGGCAGGCCTTCTTTCAAAGAGCACCATCAGGCCATCGACGGATAAAACCCCATAACGATCACTTGTTCTGATATCCCTGAAGGGGGGAAGTTAAATCTATGCAGGCTAACACTGAGAACAGTGACGCTCGGAATGTGACATCATCAGTAACTATGAAAAAGTTAGAGCGATCTCCGAGGGCTTATTCGAGAGGTGGGTTCACTGTTTTGACCAAATTTGCCCGTATTTCTGTCCCAGCGGTCAGAAGGACACTACACTTCCATTGTTCATCACTTGTGGATCCATTGTTCGTGTCACACGCCCCCATATATTTTGTATAGGCCATGAAACAAAAACATACGCTACGAGTGTAGAATGCCAACAAAAACAAGTCATTAGTTAATTTCCGGTTATTGTCCATGCCAAATTGAGACAGGTTCTCTCCACACCAGAGTTTGTGAACCGCAACGTATTAGTCCTCATTCTCCGTGCTATTGTCTAGCAAACAAGGCCGGTGATACGAACAATGAGTAGCTGTCGGGGAAAACAAGTTGCGAAAATTAATAATGTTGGAAGCACAGCTGTTGTGAAAACTATAAATAGTGATATTCTAGTGACTAAAAGGTAACCACCAGAGGAAAACATGGATAATTCACACAGTTTTTGCCCCCATACTTGTTTTTCTTCAGATTGGAGATGTTCGAGACCTGTGTCTAAGGGGAACTCCATTTATCTACTGCTGGAATGACAAATGTTGACAGTAATTATTTGCCAAGCGGATGATCCATTTTCTCTGTCTAATTAATTGATTTCAGCGGCAAATTACTAGAAAAAGCCCCGTTTATTTAGCAGTGGACAGTAATATGAGTGTGTCAGATTCAAGGCAAATGTGAATCTGTTGTGGCGATCTGTTTTCTTTCTTGCAACCAAATTGCAAACTATCTTTTATGAGTGCTATTGTCTTCATGTGCGTTCAGTGGTGCGGGAGAATCAAAGCTATCCAGTAGTGAAGTACACTCATTTGCAAACTAATTTAGTTTTGCGGGAGACTCACCTGAAACCCAGGTGAATCTCTCGTTTGTGAAGTTTCCGGCCAACTGAATGTGCTGCACCAGGCCGCCTCATGTTTCAGTCACTACGATATTCGAGATATCGCGATACATGTATATTGGTGATGCACTACTCATAAGGTTGCTGAAAACTCTTGGACAGCACACAACCGGTTTCGCCCTTCGTGGGGCCCACCAGGTAGGCGCACTCCCCGAGTTTCCGTTAACTTTGTGTTTCGCTTGAAACCAAATTGCACGAAATTAGCCAACTAATTTGGTTTTGCGAGAGACTCATCAAATTAGTTCGCGAATGAGTGTATTTCACTAATTTCGTGCAATTTGGCTTCGAGTTGAACATAAGGTCAATGGAAACTCGAGGACTGTGCCCACCTGATGAGCCCCAAGAAGGGCAAAATCGGTCGTGGGCTGTTGACGAATTTTCAGCAACCTTATGAATAGTGCAGCACGAAAGCTAACTGTTGTTTTGTGTCTTTTTTCTACGTCCAGAACCTGATGCTTCCCATGAGAGGTGAAGTTAGAGAGTATTTTGACATAATACATACTACTCATAAGGTTGCGGTTACTTGTACAGGGGTCCGTTTTCCGTGTACGCTCCGACTACTAGGTGAGAGGAATGCTCATTCTCTGTTGATAAGTTGGCAGAATCTGAACATCGACACTAGTTTCATTTACGGAAAACTTGGGTTTGATGACAATATCTTGGATAGGATTGTCACACCTGGATAATTAGAATGCACTGGTAGAACCATAAGTCGCTTAGAGATTTAATTGAAGGTGATCACAGTTGCTCGTTGAAACAAATTATATTTTGCGTTTCTTCCTTGTTTGGCTATAGAGGAACCTTCAAACAACTGTCAGAAACCTGATGCCAACGAGTCCGACTCATGGCTAGCTATGGACCAAACATGAGTTCTGCGCGTTGCCATGACAACAAGTGAGTTTGGAAATGCTGTTTTGATGCAGTGTTAAATCTTTCCTATTCCTCCTTAGTTCTGTTTCTGCTTTATGTTTCTGTTTATTGATAGTTTTGGTCTCCTCTATGATAATCTTAATTCGGACAATTAAAATACCAATTAGAAGGCATCAATTTCCCTTTGTTTCCCTTGTTTAGGCTTTAATTCAAACCGCTTCTGTAGATTTTCAATGCGACCTTGATCAACTTCTATATATGTCTAAAATATTGTACTGCAACATACTACTATAAACTGTAGATTTAACTGAACGACTTAGAAAAAACTAACATCTTTGCCGTTGACTCTTAGCCAATCACCATATTCTCATTTACATGGTTGTAATATTCATGTACTTAATGTTCGTTAGTTCCCCGAGTTTTTTTTGGGAGAGGTATAATAAAACACAAACTGCGTTCCTTGAGGAACATTTTACCCTCAGGATATTTACTCACGCGCCAAATGAGGGGAGCAACCATCCGGAGAGGAGCAGCAGACCCAGAGTTGATCGTGCCGTAACATTAATCGCCCAGAAAGATGATTTTGTGTAAGCACAGTATCCGAGTGCATTTATTTAGCGAGTGGGACGTTTTGTTCTGCAGCCTATCGTCTCCACAGATCAGCTTAGGAACATGCTGTTTTCAACGGTGTATAGTCTCGATGTTCTAGACAGGCTTCACATAAATTATCTGGTAATAAAAGAAACATCATGCACCCCTTGTTATGCGAATATAAGAGGCATTAATTCGTCAGTTATTCATATAATTGTTTGACATTTATTTGCATTTAATTGCAATACATTGCTCGGAGGAGAAATAGCTAAGAGCGAGGCTACTTCTAATGCCTAACGTGGGTCAGTTCTCCATATCTTGGGAAGTGCACTGAGTGACGAGAGCGACCTTGAGCAATGATTGATATATTGAACATGAAAATTTCCGAGCATCGATCGTTCATACGGAATTGGCTCATGCCCACCAGTGATGATGATAGGACGTTTCTTAATCTTGGATTCTCTGGGGAATCATGAAGTGACCCGGAGCCAATAATATGCAATGCACTTTGTAAATTTAAACAAGAAACTCTTTCGAGAAATACACTCATTTACAAATCAGGTTGGTTTCCGTTTATGATATTCTACAACTGAATTTGCTGCCTCATGATTCAGTTGGCATGATATTCGGCATATTGCAGTATATTTTCATAAAGGAAACTACTCACAAGTTTGTTGAAACTCTTCGACAGCCCACGACCGGTTTCGCCCTTCTTGGGGCTCATCAGTTAGGCGCAGTCCCCGAGTTTCCGTCAACCTTATGATCTATTTGAGCCCAAATTTGACTGCGTTTGGGCAAAACTGGTCATAAAATGTCGGAGAGTTTTCAGCAACCTTGTAAGTAGTTTCTTTTATGAAAAGAAACTCTTTCTTTTCCTCAGATAATCGAATTTTCAAATTTGATGTTTGCAACCTGCTGATACATCTTTCAGAGGAAGTTACGGAAATCAATTCGTTCACAAGTGTAAAAAAACACTGATAATGGGACTTTATGTGGTGCAAGTGACACCCTACTTTCTTTCGAGAGGGTGATGAAACCAGTTTCACTTGAGATGCGCGTACCTCTCCGACAGTCTCAAACTCATTTTTTCAGGCACGACAAAGGCATTTTTGCATTCAGGTTCACGTGTTTTTAAGCTGTGTAACATCTCTTCGGACTTTCACTCGTGAATGAACAGGTTTTGTCAGCTACGAATGAAATCCCGTCTTGCTTTCACCTCGGGAGTGAAAAAATTGATAGCTAAACTGGTTTTCATTACGGATAAGCCAGCCACGACAGTAATTGACCATTTCAAACGTGAACTATCGTTCCAATGGCAATCCGGGGAGTTATTTCTCTTCACCACCTGATGAGCTCCAGTTAAATTTTGCAAGTGTCGAAAGTTCACTGAAAGTGCGCTGAGCTGGATTTGACTGTTTATTGGAGTGGATCAATTAAGTTTCATAGATGATCTCACAGAGGGCCATCCAACGATTTCGAAGCGCTCAAATGTGCAGTACAGTCATCTGGTTTAGTTTTTAATGAATCGCATACGATCGACCAAACGTTGTTTCGTGTACCTTGGCATGCTTTGCCCTCACTGCAACCCGGGGTAGCATCAGGGAGGCATTAACTTCAATAAATGTCGATTTTTATTTCATAATGTATTGTAGTTCTCGCCGGATGCCCTGATAAGGACGTAATTAGTCCACTACGAAGACCCCTTTGGGTAACAATATCTAGATTTCTGCAGTATCTTGTGAGCGTGCACTATTCAACTTCCACCACAAGGTCAGACAGTGTTGTACATGTGACACTTATCAAAGACAACCTTTTCGATTCATCTTTGCCAGAATTGTCCAATCAGAATGGCTGGTCTGGAGGTTGATTAATTCCGCTGAGTATATTTTCACTGCGGGACCAGAAGAGGTTCATTTACCGCTGATCAATATTCACCTTCCCGTTTATCCGCTCCTCAAGTGAAGTTCACAGTGTAGTAACTTATGTGATGCTTGGACCAGATGCGCAAAAGGAACACACGCTTCCCAAATTATCAACAGAGAGTGTGATTGTTGTTACTCTTAAGGCGATACTGTGACGCGCCCCCACCAAAAACAAAAAAAGTACACTAAGGACAAGTCAAATAGCTCATTTCGGTGATTTCCCTTATACACAGTCATGATCCGTGACAGATGTCAGTAACCGAATTCCCACTGACTTAAACACAAAAGCAAAATTTAAATGAACCGGAAACTCTGAATTCTGAGGTTCGCGTGAAAGTAAGACTGTAAGACGGGCAAATTTCCCAGTTTATCAATTTTCACTATGTTGGTTTGCTGTAAACGTCGTCTTGCGCAACAAAGTAAATGGTATCCTTGGTGACCTAACTGGTGAGTAGTAATATTTGGGCACCTGGTCAAAGGCGGAAGATTAAAGGACACAATACAAAGAGTATTTGACAATGAAGAGGTTAATTGCTAGTTATCCTTTGTCATGGCACACAGGGATGAAATAACAAACGCTTCAACGTCCTTTGGTATGCACTTTGCACTCACAAAGTGTAAGGTCATGCTCGTGGACGTTCAGTCACTGAACAGGCCACTTACAATCCAGGGAGAGGTACTGGAAGTTGTGAAGCGTTTTACGAATCTTGAGGGTTGTATCAGTTCTGATCGTAGTGTGACAGATGAGGTGAATGCACGAATCTGCAAGGCTCGGGCCGCGTTTGATAATTTGAGACACCTATGGCGTCAGAGTGGTTTATCCCCATCCACATTTACTCTTTTCTTTACATTAAGGCTTTCATATAAATCATGGATGTACGGCAGTGAGGCATCGGTTTTGAACACTGATGTCATGCTGTCGATGATGATGATGACGATGCAATCATTCTAGGTGATGAGAGAGGTCAGTGAAAATTGCGGCTGTACGAAAATAGTCTGCCTCAGCTTAGAATAAAGGCCCTGGAAATTGATGCATTCGCTCATCTTAGTCTAATTGGGCCAGCATACACCTGCCTTGAGATAACTTCAGAGGCAAAAGCGAAAAAACCTGCAGTACTTGTTCGGTTTCCGGAGTGAGTGGGGAATTCTTCCCTCTATCAATGTATGCATGTGTATTAGCTTTCATAAACCCAAAGAACGTATAGTGATCGAAATCAAGTATAAAAAAGCCATAAAACAGCTTTGTTATTGAGTTGGTATCAGCGAATTCGTTAGTGTTGGTGTTTCCTTCCGGAGCAATCGCACTATGATCAGTTTGGTTTTCGACTACTCAGTTGAGATGACCAGACAAGGTGTTGATTCCTTTCTTCTATGTTTACGTTGTACAGGGCGGTTTCCCATTTTGTTATCTTAGTTTTGCGCCTATGCTACCTTTCTTGTTTTTGACCTAAACATAAACCGCTCTATGACCTTGTCATCGGATGTGTTGTTCAAGTCAACACGTGGTTTCGCTATCTAGTAAACAGGTGACCTTGAGTCAGTGTAAAGTTTGGGATCTGTTAGGAATTAGCAGTCCCTAAACCGGTGCAAAGAAGCCGGCGTGGTCCCATGATTTGAGGTTTGTAAAGTTTTATTAGTGTACTATTGTATTTGTAGTAAATAAACCTCCATTTGAACGACCCGGCTTTTGGGGTTCTGCGCGCAACTCATCGTGGTTCAACAGACTGCTGGAAACGACCTATGCAAGAAATGTGTTAAAGGTCGCTGACCGTTTTTTTACAGGGACAACATAGATGGATGCGGGGACTTACCAGGAGAATTTCGACGCAGGAGTAGTGACGGTTCTTCCTGAAACGGGTGATAGGGTAGTGAATTCTTACGACCTTGAGCTGACATAATTTTGTTTAACAATATATTATCAGAATTCAGTTGCTCCGCGACTGTAGACAGACTGATGTCATACGTGTCTTGGTTTTCCACACCCTGCTGGTCCGTATTGTCGACACGGCCTGTTCGGGGATGCAACGTTGCTTTCGGTTTTTGTCTTGTCTTTTTCGTGGTTCGGCGTCGATTGGTTTTCAGCGCGTCTTTTCTTTGTTCAACCAAAGCTTGGTTTCCACCAGAATGAAGATCCTCGTCCGACAAACATGTACCCTCTTCATTCTCTCGAAGTGGTCCACTTGGCATGCCGAAAGTAGACATGGCTTCCAATTCTTTGGATAACCGCAAATTTGAAAGAGCGCCCTCTGACTGATTGAAACTGGGGATCGATCAACCGATAAAATAAAGAAAAATAAAGATCAGGCTGACGTCAGCAGCTAACAGAAAGGCTGTGAATGGTCGAGGGCAGAAACAACTGTTAGAAGAATGATCTGTTAGAATACGCGAAGCTGCAATAAAGTGCCTCGTCGCTCGTATGCTCGTGTGCTTTCATTTTCACTTTATTTTTAGTTGTACACTCTGAAAATAGGTTCCGTTACTTCTGTCTCACTTGACTTTAGGAACACAGCTGATGAGAGTGAACAGAAACGTTGACTCTCGGTAGTGTGTGTTCATACAGTGATGGGTATATTCGGCAGACTCGACAGTCCAAGACGACACTGAGTAGGATTCAATAGATACTCACGATGTGGAGTTTGTTTCGTCACTCACTCCAAGCGTACAGTGCTACACTGTGACTATGTGCCTTTGATGTCGTATTTGGTTATTGGAAATATCTACCGCGTGTGGTTGAAATTCGCGCTTTCAGTTCATGGTAAACCTCCCACATTTTATCAACATTTAGACCAGTGTTTCGCAGTCGCATCACTTCAGTCCTCAAGGATGCCTGCAATGGTTTACCCCAGGTGCTGACTCAGATAACTTTCAAGGTGTTCAAACTCCGGTTTCAATTTCTACCGGCAAAAATCCTACCCACTAGAAGACTCAGGATTTTCAGGGGATAGAAAAATATTAGAGAGTGGTGTTTACTCAAATCAGCCTCGAGAGCCCGAAAGTTTAAAAGTATTTGGGAAGTCACGTACCACTGTTATTGGCTACGGACACAGAATGTCATCTCCCACCTGTTTTTGATGAGCGGAACACATATTCAAACACGCGTTCACATGTCTCGGATACCCTGATGTCAGTTTTCCCGTTCGAAAGCTCAATGTTGCCCACGATCCTGTCGATCGTTGTACCGTCCCCAGCTAACTGACTCACGACTTATTGTCTAGACACTAAAACACGATCTAATCTTCTTTATGAAGTATCTGCAAGCAAGGTGGGACGTTTTGGTCCCACGCGGCTTATCGCAATATTTGCTCTCTCATCGCTCGAACAAATTACTTGTCGTCTTGGCCACATTCTTCTGGTTAGTCCACACCAGTAAACTTTAGTTTTGCCTTGATAAGAGCTCATCAGTATTGCATACCTTTGACCGTGTCTGGAACTCCGGTCATGTGACATTTGAGGCGAGCTTGTTACCACGCCTAAATAATCTGGGGTATCTCGATTGAACTATCGACTGCGTCCACGCTTCGATGTAAACCAGGAATAGGGGGGGGGGACGCAAACTCGCACTCTACAAATCCACCAACAACTTACAAATTACCTAGATATTTCCTAATTTGGACACCGGTGGAGATCAATGTTTTGCTACACACTCCTTCTGAACGTGGATCACATATTTTACATATACCGCAGTATGTTCGAATACCGTATCTTTCATACCAATTAAGGGATGTCAGTAGAATTAAAATTTAAGTGATGGGACTGGTTACCGCTGATAGGCCATTTTTGTTCAGTTTTTGGGAACTAGCTAAATAATCAATAATTTCACATGTGATCCGATCATCTGACTGGAATACAAGTTCACTCTACCAAGCCTGGGGCAACTGAGCACTCATAATCCTCAACCTCTTCATTATCGGTTTCGAGTTTTCACATTTTCTGTGAATGTCACAACCAAAATTGTGGCATCACTTTGCCCCCTGGCTTACACTAATAATTGTTTTCTGGTGGGATGGAAAGTTCCCATCCTTAGAAACTTCTTGGGATAAGAGATTGGTATCCGTGTGGGAATACGAATCAATCAAAAATCTTTACATCCCAACGACGTGGTAACTTTGTGGCAACAAGTTGTTCTTGCGATTCAGAAAGTAAACATGTTTGAAAATCAGGTCGGTTGGTCATTCAAAATAACTGTACAAAACGCTCTGAAAAATTTTACGCGAGCATTTTAAACCATTTCGGTCTATATTCTTTGAGGTGAGATAAGTAACCTTAGTCATCAGAGTGGACCGAAATCAAGCGATCTAAGAAGTGATATTGGTCATTCGAATTTACAAGGTGTTGAAGAGTCACGCGCGAAGAGGGCACGATAAATTGGCCAGGTTTGGAAATACGCGCCTTAGTGGCTCACAAATTGAATCTTTTTGCGAACTGCACTCATTTGCAATTCAATTTGGTTTTCACGGGAGACTCAACTGAATCTCTCGTTTATGATGTCCTCCAACTGAATGTGCTGCACACAGGCCGCCTCATGATTCAGTTGGCACGATATTCGAGGTATCGAAGTATATTTTGATACAGGAAACTTCTCGAATATCGTGCCAGCTGAATCACGAGGCGGCCTGTGTGCAGCACATTCAGTTGGAGGACATCATAAACGAGAGATTCAGTTGAGTCTCCCGTGAAAACCAAATTGATTTGCAAATGAGTGTATTTCTCGAAAACAGTCCAATTTGGGTTCAAGTAGATCATAAGGTTGACGGAAACTCGGGGACTGCGCCTACCTGATGAGCCCCAAGAAGGGCGAAACTGGTCGTGGGCTGTCGAAGTGTTTTCAGCAACCTTGTGAGTAGTTTCCTTTATGAAAATGAATCTTTTTGCTTTAGGGGGCAGTGTTAGCATTCTAAATAAGTTGAAAGGTTGCTGCAATCTCTTTCTGGTAGGTTGTGTCAAAGAGATGGATCTGGACTGAATATTCTTCTGTTAACGACTGAGTGTGAAGTACGTACTTTGTGTACTTGTAGTGTGGAAGTCCTTGGCCGGGTACTGGGGGCCAAGGAAAATTTGTACTTTTTCCGTCTGACAAAGAAAATTGCTTTCGGTATGTTGAGATGGATAAATTCTGTTTAACGTCCAGGCAATCAGCACTTCCTGAGTTGTGGGAGCAGTGGGCTTCCCTTCCGCAACGGGGAGCACTTCAGGATGAACCGTCCCCAAGAGTTGTGGTTTTCCAAACGTTTGACCTTTGATCAGCGGTCTTGAATACCTCTAACAGTAAGTTGTTGTTCGAACAATGCCTGTTGGGCGCAATGACGTACTAAGACAGACTGTGACGTCATACTCCCTGCTTAGTTGGACTGTGTGGCCGTTCTGTTCTATGATTCAGACATTGAGGTTGAAATGTGGAAATCAAATGCTCAGAATATTATCTTTTTTTTATCAGACTCAGCTTTCGAAAGCTCCACTTCTTCAGACACGAAAGGCATTAAGACGCATGTTCTATATCGGAGTTCAGCTGAGCGCGGGATGAGAGCAAGCCTAGCTGTATATTTTCAAAAAAAAAACCCAAAAGCTATAGATATTCATAAAATCGACCTGCTGGCTATGGTGGAATTAAGCGGAAGAGGGTTGACCTG